ATCCTCAACCAATAAATCTGAATCTGTAGAGGACTTATATCCCCTCTTATTTATGTTATCGTTAATAGTTTCACAATTACTTTTATTTTTCCTTTGGTCTTTTCCGATCTTCCTAATGAATTTTAAAGGATAGTTATTTAACACCAAAGCCTCTTCTATCTGTTTTATTTCATCATTTAGGTCTTTTCTTGTGCTACTTAGTGCTACTGCTTGGTTTGTTAAACACTTAACTAAGCCTGCCTTAACAGTCGACGGATGAGATTAATTAAAGTCTAAGTATCTATTAGAATGAGTTGGTTTTCTATAAACACTAGTGTGTAGTTTACCTTCTTCTATTCGTTTTATTTTACAATCTAACATAGCTAATTCTCCTTGTTCATTTTCCGATTCAAATGTGAATTTTATTCCCTCTACTAGTGAGTTTATGTGTGTCAAGAAGCTAGAGATATGTTCTGTTTTTTAACACTGTGAAAGTGTCATCCACATATCTCCACCATATTTTCGGAGTAAGGTTAAATGTATTGAGGGTACTATTTTCCCAGCTGTCCATAATTATGTCTGCTATGATAGGGGATGTTGGTGATCCCATTGCTACACCTTCTGTTTGTCTATATATTTTACCTTGGAATTTAAAGATAGTAGATGTGAGACATAACTGAATCCCTAAAATAATTTATTAAATGGGCAGCTTTGTCCTATGATTGAGTTCATGATCCTCAGTTAGTTCTTTTTTAACTGCTTCTAAGGCCATATTGACTGGTATATTAGTATGAAGACTAGTTATATCGAAACGTCATCAGTAAACATTACTGTATAACACTGTGAGACTTTATCAAAATTTGTCTATAATGGAATTATACTCTATCACAGTGCACAAGTTTTATTCTTATATCAACGAATAACATTTTGTCCCAGCTTGATGTTCATTATCGAAATATGAGCATACTTTATTGTATCCATCTGTCCATTTATTTAACTCAGTCTGCATTCCATACTTATTTAAATGATAAATAATAATGATTTCAGATCAAAATTTATCTCACTAACAAAAATTAATAGTTAATGATACTCGAATTGGCATTATTATCCAAATATTTGCCTTCTTTGTTACACTATACCACTGTCTAATATCCCACTAGACTTCAAACCTTTGAGTATTGACGCACACATATACACGCACACACCGAGGGTTAAAAAAACAATATGAATTATAAATTATTTTTTGCCGTTAAATGACGTCATGAAGGTGTTATTGTGAAACCAAATCGTGTGAGCACATTGGTTGATAGCTTTCAGACAGAATAATACAAAAATACCATCAAATGATAATTACTACTACCTAAGAATTTTGATGCTTAATAAGGCAGTTTCCACTTGAAGGCATAATACTGGAAAGAAAATTTACAAAGTTACAGACAGGATAAAAAAATATATTATGTTATTACTTGTTGGGCTGTTTTCTTCTCTAAGCTAACCGATGAGTAATTGGAGCGTAAGGCAAACAAACGATACAAAGTCTTGATGACAGATTTTCAACTGACTGATTCATCATGACCACCAGCAAATTGTATGTACTATTCTCATTATGGTCAGTAATCAAAGAATAAAGATTGCATTCACGTGAAACAGCATAGTATCAGGTTTGCTGATATTGAGGCTTAGGTAATGTTTTTTCTCCTTCACGTTCCCAGTGCAACATAGGGCTTAAAGTTTCTGTAGCAGTGTTTATTTTTCAGGATGGAGTTGCTAGCCTCATGCCCAAACTTTCCTCTTTACCAGCATTATTTCTGGGTTAGCGAGGTAAAGGAGTGCTTCGGTGGCCGGGGATCGAACCCTGAACCATGTGCATGGTCAGCGAGCGTCCTAACCGTTGTGCCACCGACGCAGCTTAGGTAATGTGTCGATGCTAATCGGTGAACTATCAATTCGTATTCATAATCTTATTCCGCAACTATAATAACTAAGTATTATTGTCTTTACTTTCAATGATGAGTAAATCTTACTTGCATTTTTTCATACATGAGTTTTTTTTAAGAATGATAATATGTACCACTGATGGTTAACAATGTTCATGAAGTTAGACTCTGCAGCCTTCTGTCAGATGTTTATTGCTATTTTTACATAACTGGTTTCGTAAGCTTTTCTGAAATGAGTTTTTCACCCACATTACCTGCTTCAGAGTTATCATGTAGGTTCTATTTAAACATACCGTAGTAAAACACAAAGGTCTCGAATGTGCTTATCTTTCTTTTCTCCGGGAGGTGAATAATAAGAAAAACAGCAGACAGGTATTTTTTATTTTATTTTTTTTTTTTTTATTTTTTTTTTTATTTTTGATTACAGCTTGATTCCACACCGTATTTTTGGTACAAGTATGGAATTTTCAGCATGGATATCGGTGGCCCAAATTTTGCAGGCCGACCATAGATATCAGGTGTGCGTCGGCGTGGGCTCGAACCTTGGACCATGTGCATGGTCGGCGAGAGTCCTAACCACTGTGCCACCGACGCACATATATATATAGATTGCACATTAGATGTACATACATGCTACTTACTGCAAAGACCAAATAATTATAAGCCTAGACAACTATAGATAACCGCTTCATCTTACTTTGAGATTCAAAACCAGTCCAGATCCATTGCTTCTTAAAGACTGTGATCCATAAAAAATAGAACATTTAAAAAGAGAATACATTACAAGATCAACTGAAATGGGAAATGTTCATCACACAAAACTCCTTAGAGATGTGTGTACTACTACGAACATTCGAAACAGGATAAAACACATTTTCACTGGTCCCAGGCTTCTAGTGGTTATTTCAACTTGTAGATTTAGACATTAGCGCAAACACAGTTATTCAGAGAGGCAAATAACATCATTCTATCAAATAACTATTAACACTTAGTAAAAATAGGATGTTGGATAAAAATCAAACTGACTGCTTAGTTGCCCTATCACAGTATCATTTACTCGTGATAACAAACTTCCATCAAATTATTCATACTCTTTCCCTGTCTGTTGTTTCATCTTCCTCGAGAATTGAACTACTAAGAGACACCAGTGACCTTTTAACTTCTGGCCTACTTCTTTTGTTCAGATGAAGACCTGACTCATACTGTTGGTTTATCTGAAATTGACATCAGAGGTTTAAACTCTTTCACATATGGCACTTGTGATAATCTAAAATCAACATGGTGCTGTGTACTACTGACTGATTGATATAAGTAGATGAATACTCCTGATGTTTTTTGATTATAGCTTGACTCCACACTGTATTTTTGGTACAGGTATGGAATTTTTAGCATGTAATATCGATAGCCCAATTTTGCAGTCCGACCATTGATATCGGGTGTGAGTTGGCAGGGGACCCGGATCCCGGACCATGTGTATGGTCGGCGAGAGTCCGAACCGCTATGTCACCAACGCACTAGCCTGATCTAAGTGACAGAAACACCGGACATCCCTCTCGCTAGTTTCAAAGTCAGCTAATCAGATGCGTATCAGCTGAAACCGATGAATTATTTCAAATCACCAGCTATTCAGGTGGATTGATAATACATCAAATTAATTTATAGACTGAGAATTTAAACCAGAAGTTAATTCGAAATAGATATTTAGGAATTTCTCTAAACATTATGCTCCCGTCTTATATCACTCAGTTGACCGATGCATATACTTATTTGTAACCCACCTTATTCAAAAGTTAATATTTGTCACCTAATTATTTCATTTCATTTAAAATGATTGAGGAGTTGTGGTTCATCTGCCCAAGCGCTCAACTTCTAGCTAGGGGTCATGAGTTCGAGCTTGGCTTCACCTATTTGGGCTTTAGTGACCAGAAAGGTTCACTGCCCTTGATGCTGAGCAGCTCCACTAATTACTAAGGTCTTGTGATGGGATTGCACCTATAACTGTGTACTTTGATCAAAAGTATTTATAAATTCTGAGTTTTGGAAAATACTACACAAATAATAACAGAGAGTAATTAGCTGAACTTCTGCTACTAATCTAAGCACTGGAGAAGGGAACAGTGTTAGTCTAATCAGTGAGTTTCATGTCTGTAAGTGATTTTGATATTCACAATAAAACTATGTTAGAAAAAATAAATTGTGTCAATAACTCTGGATGCTTATTATAATGACTAGTAGAATGATATGTTTTATGAAATCTAATATGAGGGATAAAAATACATGGAATCTTAATTTTAATATCAGTATTTTGTTGTTTATTCAGGAGTCTCAAATACACATTTGTTTCTACCTTCTAAACTTTAACTAAAAATAAGAGGATATATGCAAGTGATCTCTCTCAAAATGTCAGCAGCTGAATAACAAGTGAAGTCGAATATTTGACTGCGTAAAGCGAAGGCATACATACTGCGAACTCATTGTTATAAAACAAATCAGCCAACCATGAAAATCTACCGAAATTATTCATTTCAGTTTAAATCAGAGTTAATTAAATATGGCAAGAATAATGAATCCTGATATATTGGTCTAAAGACTGACTTGTTTTGTCTAATTCCTAATTTTCTCAGAATACCTTAAATTTCTTCTATTTGTAATGATGCATTCACGCAGAGATTCATTCTTACCATAGTAACTGAAAATCTATTGGACTCAGTTGTACAACTAACTATTGGCTGGCTAGGTTCACTTTCCTGTATTATCTTCTGCTAACAAAAAGAACCAGCACATTAAGGCTGAGAAACTACAAAAAACTATACTTTGTATCTACGGTATATACCGCCGAGAATTTACTGACAAAGGTAGGCAGAAACAGAGTGGTTCAGTGGACAATGAAAAAAATTACAGTGACAAAAAGGTGGTGATAAAATGTAGGAGAACATAAACATATAGTGTTCATCTGCCTCCTTCTGTTGAAAATGTCTCCACGTAACAGCCATAAATCAACTAATATTCTTATTATGCAACCATTTAATAAGTAATTCGTGAATATAAGTAAAAAGAGAACTGTCAGTTTGTATAATAGCTTACTTCTATAGTCCGGAATGGTAGTCCATAGGTTTCACCAGACATCTGCAGTTGAAAGAGTATAGATTTTTTGAGACTAACGGAGGAAATATCCTCCTCTGGGGAATATTCAGCGAATACGAGCCTCCCATTTTCAAGACAAAATTTCACTGAATGCTTTTGATAATGAAACAGTCTTTCGGTAGACTGGGTATTTCCACTTTCTTCAACTGAATCAATCTAAGTCAAAGAAAATTTGTCTGTTAGATAATAGACGTATTTTTATTTATCTCATATATATACGATAAACTGTTCTAACTGAATATTATTGTAATACTCTGAAACCTGCATGCCAAGTAATCCACAACGGGAAAATTACAGAAGCCTTCGAAGTGAAGACGGGAGTGAGGTAAGGTTGTCTACTATCGCCAATGATCTTCCTGACTGCAGTAGAGTGGATAATTCGACGAACAGTGGGCAATGAGGAAACAGGCATAAAATGGACTCACACAAAATACTTGGAGGATCTGGACTTCGCCGGTAACATATATGTGTCTACTTTCCCACAGACTAGAAGATATGCAAGTGAAAAGCAACAAGTTGATGGAAGAAACATCAAATATAGGACCTCCTTCAGGTGAACACAGAGAAAACAGATCTGGTGATGAAGATTCCTGGCCAACACCAATATCAACAACAACAGACAACAATCAGCCAGCATAAAGGGAGTAATCTGAAAGAAACAATCTCATTTACCTACCTACCAACCTGGGAAGCATCGTTTCAACTACAGGCTGACGGAAATAACGAGGATATCAAAGCAACGAGGATCGGGAAAGCAAGACAAGCTTCCATTACTCTCAAGTCTGTGTGGAAGTCAACAGCTCTCAGCATGAAAATGAAAATAAGATCCGAATTTTCAACTTCAATGTGAAGTCAGTGCTACTTTACGGATCAGAGACTTGGCCAGCGCGTCATAAAGAGCATCTCAAACAAACTACAGACCTTCATTAATAATTGTCTTCGCTCAATACTCAAGATCAGATAGCTGGCCAGAAAAGACCAGCAACAAAGATCTCTGGGGGCGAACTAACCAGGAACCGATTGTGAAACAAATAGGCAGGAAGAAATGGAGATGGATTGGCCGTACTCTGAGGAAACCATCAAGTGACATCACTACACAAGCCACCGCTCGAGTGGAACGCGAAAGGGAAGCGGCGAGTTGGTCGTCAGTGTGTGGGTGACTTAGAGGTGGTCATGTGAAGAGGAGATGAAAGCGTGTGGGCAGACTTGGAGCGGGGTGAAAACGTTGGAAGAGAACCGAACGCAATGGAGACGCGCATCAGAGGCCCTATGTTGCTGTAGGAATTAAAGAAAATAATAATAAATAATGAAATAATAATACTCTGAAACGAACTATTATTACTATATTTTTGAATCCGACAGTGGCCTACCTTACTTCGGCTGACTAGTGACTGTCCAGCAGGTTGTTTGATCACCAAAATTAGTGGCTTGCAATCGCCACATGAAATAGGAAAATTCAGTACACGGTGTTAGAATTAAACTAGCAAGCATAATCGATCAACGTATTGCGGTTACCACATCAAGCACTGTAAACATATACCAGTTTCCACCAGTCAATTAACTTGCTCATAACGGAAATGAAAAATTAAAATTAACAGCCAAGGCTATCTTGTGGCTTATTTCGAAGTTAAAAGTACAGCAATAAATTACTCTGAAAAGCGTTGTCTAGAGTGGTTTAAATAAAAACATACACAACATATAGTTTTTATTTCTGATCTACAATAGACAGTTATAAATATAAGGTTGGAAGGGTCTATATGCGTTATAAAGTCCTTTCTTCGTTTTTTGCCTTTTCAGTATTGTACGTTAACCAGGAAAACTGCAAAGGGCTTTCAGTTATCTCTTTACTACATCACTTGCATAAAATGTAATAGCAAGTACACTTCAAATTAATGCTGCAAAAGGTAAGAGCAAGTTGTTTATGACAAATATTTTTGCTGTAGCTAATAACAGCACACTTTCCAGACGAAAAACAGTTTATATTAGTTCTACATAAAATGAAGTTTATCTGAAAAATGTGAAATATTGCGCGAATTCATTCCATTTCTTAGATAAACCTTTTTTTTATTTAATGCTACTCAAATTAATGAATAAGACTAATTGCTTTAAAATTATTTTCAGCCGTATATTTCCATTGTTGTAGGCAAACAACTTTTCGATAACATCAGTGAGACAGTGTAATGCTATCTGTCTGATATATATATATATATATATATATATATATATAGAAACTATGCAAATAGTAAAAACTTCGGAATTATCATCAAGCAAAGCGATAGTAAGCTTTTTTTTGCAGCAAAACAGGCAAGATCTAAAAACCTATTTGTTGCGAATTTAATGGTCAGTTTTATTGTTTACTAGATATTACCCTAAAATTAATCAATGTCTGAAAAAGAAACATATTCAGTGGAGTTCTGTGCAGTAAGTAGCTGATAGGATGAAGTGCAGAGGAGAATTTATATTTACTTTGGAGAAGAATTATTGTAGGCGTTAAATGTTTAGAGAATTTACAGATTAGCTTCACTTCTAAAGGCGACTTATTTTAGTACACCTTTATCTGATAAGCCAGTAAGTGCCCTTATTTTGTCGCACTGCCTTAAGATATAATTTGATTTTTTAAATGTGCTCAACAGTGAGTTCACAAGGTAAGTGAATGACACGACATTTCAGGGTCCTCCAGGATAAACATCGATTAAAATAAGCAATCCTGTCTTATCAAGTTACCTGAACTCATTCTTATCCAGTATTTGTGAACATTTTTTTCTACTAAATAATCACATCTGCTGTAAGATTGGGAAAAAAACTCGTAATATTTTCTTTTCTGATGGTGACCTGCTGTAGAATCCAGGACATCTTATTTAGGACATGTCAGCTAAATTTACCTGCTCCTCACTGAGTAATACTGTTGTCAATGAGACTGAAGCCCCGTGCCCATGGCGTTATCTATTGGTGTTCACCAGAATGTCAGAATAAAAAAATAAACCCCAGTAGTCAGTTGTTAAGTGAACACAACGCTTTCACCAATTAAAATGTCGAACATCATGAATATCTTAGAACTTAGTGATGCAAAATAGAAACATTTGAAAATACTGTTAGGTTACATACGGTAAGTCGCATGTCGCAGTTTGGTCCAGTAATAATTTTCGCAGATCCTTTAGTCACATAAGAATGGTTCATCATTTTGCTATCCTCAAAGTTCCACATGGCTTCCCCGTCCCCCTCATGCAGTTTGTGTACAAGCTTCCAGCCATACTTGTATTCATGTCCCACTTTGAAGTTAGTTATATAATGTTCTTTCGTGTATAAACCTAATCAAATAAACAATAAAAGTAATAAAATCAACCATAAGTAGTCAAAATAAACAATCAAAACAAGTAACTCTAGTGATATCAGAGGTTTCAAAAAATTCACTAGTGAACTTTAGCTTCACTAAGCTAATTTATTTAAGTGTCTAGATGCTACAGTAGTCGACATACAGTTTAGAAATGAACCAATCAGCGATGGCCTACATAAAATACGCCTAATATTTTATTGATCATGATTACAGACTAATTGACATATCGCTGGTGAATTTTGAATTATGCCTTACTATGTCAATATACTTTCTTTCCGTCGCGTCTTAAGTGTGCTCTCGATTAACCGTTGTATACGTTGTTGGCATAGAAAAGTGATACTTGTGAATACCACGTCCGTCACTTGCTTGGCGTCCCTACCCAAATTCAATGTTTTGCAAAGTGGACTTCTGGATCAGATGGTTGGAGACAATCGGCAGGAAGCCTTGCTCGACCTAGGTTTCGTGCTAGTTATCATTCACTATTCAGCAAAGCGTATCTGCAACCCTGAAGGAACTCGTGTCCCTTCTGAGAATCGAACCCGCGTCCCCCAGTGCCACCTGCAGTCAGAGCCATTAGCAGTGAGCTATTCGAGCTCGCCATTGACTTCCTGTAGGACCGTATCAAATACTTTGATCGGACACACGTTAGTGACTAGTGCGATTCATCTGGTCCTTTGTTTGGTCCAGACTGAATTCTGTCAGTCAGGTTTGCAATGTGACCACCATTCTAGGTGGCCAGGAGTTCCTTCGGGGTTGACAAGTGTCAACTAGCATGAAACCTAGGTCCAAGGCTTCTCGTCGATTGCCTCCGGCCCCCAGCACCTTGATGGTGATCCACCTAGTGTGGTGGCCGTTACTAACTAGTGTTCAATCAAAGAATACTGGACTGCAACTGTCTCTCGTCTAATGGTTTTGCTACTGTTATAGTCAATGATGAAGGAAGTTAAAATTAAAACCTGGGTTGGGTTTAAGGCTGGCTCTCTTAGATAGTCTCATCATCAATTAACAACCCACTAGTCTCCTTTCATTTCGGTATGATTAGGACTGACAAGAGAAACAGTTTAGGTAAACAGTTATTGGAATGAAAGTGAACAGTTACGTGACAGTTGTGACAAGTGCAGTGAAGTGATTACCAGCTTGGCAGTTAAATTTAGTAGTTCACCTCACAGACTTCTGGAATAGTAATCAATTGAAATACTGCAACGATCCAGATGATTATTTGATCCTCAGCTGTCACCCGTTACATCAATAATTGTCTGCTAATCCAAAGCTATCCTATAAAGTCTCATCATTAGGTTCAAAATAGTGAAAACGTCCCATAAAACGATTTAGTTTATACATCATGCTTTAAAGTGTATCCACCCATAAATATCTTAGCTCAATAAAAAAAAATTATGCCTTATTTACCGAATTAGGCGGAAAACCATTAGTATATAACAGTGTGTCTCTGTTTAAGTGTGACAAAATATTTACAAAATGAAGTCCGTGTATCTATTACCACACAGAATTTTCGTTGTGTAATCTACTGTGTTAAATATCATTAGGCTGTGTAGCACAGAAATATTCATGCACAAGCAGAATTTCACTTACTTTGAGGCTTGATATTTAAATATGGCTGGATAGAATAAGTCACACTTATATTCACTTCAAAACAACTCAACATTCATATTGGTATAACTGACGACAATATTTATATAAATGAGAATACATTACCTTTTTTTAACCCAACTCCTATTGAATGAGTCATAATTCAATGATGATCAATTGAAATATTTTACAAAGTCGTTGATGCTTATTCAACTTTAAACTTATTTCTGGTGTTTTAAGAACCAATTGTTCAAGTAAACTGATTGATAAGAAACCGCCTGACACTAATTTATCTATCCTTAAAAGTAGTATGCATTAGGGCTCGTAGAGTGTTATATCTAATCTGAGCCAAATTAACCATTCTGCCAGTGAATAGAGTTGTAGCTATGATTCACTTCTGGTGAATGTTGGGAAGAAAAGATGAATACAGACAGATACATTAGAAGCATTGTAAGGTAGAATGAACCTTTTTTTACTTGTTTAAATCCACCTCCATAACGTATTTATTAAATCAGAGATTTATTTTGCCATGGAAATGATTAATATAAGAATGATAATTCGATTACCGTTATCGCGATTCTAGTTTTCATTCATCAAATGATAGACTCACATCCAACATATGTTTGATAAAAGAAATTGTCAGTTGACGCTGAGATAAAACGAAGCATTTATTTAAAACTTAGAGAAAAGAATATAGTATTTCCTAATTTTATTGTCTATGAAATTGATCTATGTATTCCAGGTATAAAAAAACACATCGAATTTACCATTAGAATTCACCGTGTATAGACTGTCTAGTGTATATGAAGTTGTAAAATCCAAATCATTGACTTCTGCCTCAGTGAGAGAAAAGAGTTACATCTTTTTTTAAATGTAACAGGAATGTGACTGAAGATGTACCCGAAAGATGAGTTTCATCAAAGGAATAGCGCAACTTGTTACCATTTATTTGTTGACCTAATTCGATTCAGTTTCAAAAGGCATCTGCTGATGGGTTAAAACCTGTTATTGAAATATAGTGAAACAGATAGTTTACAAGTTTGATCACGAGTTGACTGGAAACCCCACAGTACTGGATAGGCGTTTCGTCCTAGTTGAAGACTCTTCATCAGTATACGCTGATCATCTAATCAGAGATCGTTAGATATCATGAACTGGCAGAATTAAGAATCCGTGAACTACTGGGCTTTGTCCCAGTGACTGAACGGGCAATAAATCAACCTTATAACCTTACAGTCACGTCTTGCGACCCCCTCTGAGTTCGTGTGTGAGTACTGCGTCCAGTAACCCCTGATTCTCAACGATTTTCTGACTAAAGTCAATTCATGATCAACACCTAAAATCAGTCAGACGCCTAGAAACCAACACTTGGGAAATAAATAATTTTCTCCTACTTTTAATCCCTGTAGCATATTTTGCCATTTACAGTTTCACAGTCAACACAGAGATATTATTTAATTGACTACAACTTGAGAACTTTCGTGTTTAATAAATTTAATATCATATCATAAGGAATTTGCACAAAAGGCGACATTTTCTTTCACTTTTCACTGAAATAACATATGGAAATATGTTTTCCAATGACCTAAAACATGAAAAAAAATGACTTTTTGTAAACCATTTCTATCTTAGGTCATATTTCTTTTGTAGGCATGCACATATGATTATGACTTAATTGACAATGACACATAGGTTGCAAAAAGAGTTTGTCAATAAATAAATTTATGTTTGATCCAAAACTTCTGTGTTAATTATCAGAAAACAAGATGATAACCTTATTGCTACTATAAATTCAATTCAATGGTAAGTATGTAAACAGAGTATCTGCAAATCTGCTTGTTTTGCAAAGACAAGTGTATGCCAATAAGACATGCTAGTAGATGTGAGGTAAAAATTTATTCTTGAAGCACAAGATAATTTTAGAAGATAGAGAAATTTTAGCTGAGTGTATTACAAAAAATTTTAAAAGAGTTACTATATGAAATATAAAAATAAATACATTTGCTTTTATGAAGGATTAGAAAAGTAAGAGGGAAGTTTAAAAAATGTTTTATATTATTCAACATTTTGTCAGGCATACATTGATACCATCGATAATGTTGTGTACTCAGACTCGAAGGGTTGAAATAACAGTGAAAAATCTGTTACAGAGCTGTTAGAGTGTAAAATCCTCCAAGTCACTGTAAATACGGTAAAACTCAAAAAGGCTACAAATAGTCTGATAGCGGTTCCAGTGAAAAACAATATGAAATTTCTCAAATATGATCAGAATACAATTCACTCATTATGTACATACTATATGGGTTTCCGAAAGTCTTCACAGATCTCCACAATCCGGCGTTCTTAGTCCATTTATGAGATAATACTTTTTTTTCTTCACTACTATTAAAAATGTTCAAATTAAACAATTCAAATTACTTGAACATCAAAAATGTTGCTCATATTTTCTAGGAGAAAGGACGACCCTTTCTGATATCAAGACAGAAATTAATGATGACATTTAACTGACCAACAGTCAAATCCAGGACGCGCATTTCGTCCTATTTGGAACTCGTCATCTGGATGTACTTGCATTTCTCAGTGAGTGATGATGTTCCCACCGAGGCTCAAACCAAGTGCCCATAGTTTCAAACGCCAAAGTATTATCCACTAGACGACTTGGGCCACGAGAGCCACCCCTTGTGCAATGGGTCATATCAATTTAATTGAATTTGAGATTCTTCCGTCGATTGATTGGACGAAAGTATTTAATTGGTGGATCGTGACTAGCAGTGGAATCCAGGATGCGCATTTCGTCCTATTTGGGACTCGTCATCTTGAGACATTCCATTGAATTTATAGTAGCAATAGGTTGTCATCTTGTTTTGTGATAATTAACACAGAAATAGTGGATCAAACACAAATTATTTATTGACAAATACTAATTAAATGCCCAGACATCATCGAAGCATCTGCACAAGAAGCCGACATGTCAACCTGAGATCGATCAATTCGGTCTAATCAATCGACGGGAAAATCTCAAATTAAATTAAATTAATGATGACAGTTAAGTAAATGAGATTAGTCAAGTTTATGCAGCTATCGCAGTATAAATAATGCTGATGCAGATTATCTTCCACCTTTCCTTTTTCTTATATTCCCATAGTTTGAATGGATTTCAGTCAGAGAGGAAATCTCCTGTAAGAGAACGAAGTGTCGATATCCTATGTATCTGTTCTGATAGCATCTGCTCAAATCCTTACACTCCTACGAAAACTACTGGGAATTTTTAAAGCTCCAGGATCCAGATGTTTTTATGAAACTAATATTTCAGATGAGCATTTAGTCAGAAAAATTCCGATATCATGGTAGATATCTCCGTATGTGTACATCACAAATTGCTTTCGC